CCAAAACAGAGCCCTGGGGAACACCACTTGTGACTGGTCGCATTCATGCTGAATGGGGAGTTTAAGAAAAAGGATAGTTTAGAAACAATAACCAAAAAAAAAAAAAGAGAGAGAGAGAGAGGGAGAAACTGAAATTAAACTAGGAACAGAGAGTATTTCCAAACAAAATACAGAAAAAAGCCAGATAATGTTGGAACATCAGAGCTGTGTGAGGTTTCTTTAGGAGCTTTAGAAAGCATAAAGCAGCCCTTATTCATGTTGTTTCTTCACATATACAAAACCAACTCTAACTTCTGCAGTTTTCAACAGTATATTCGCTGTACAAATAAACACTAAAGAAGTGGTACCTGGAACTTCTGCACTGTAACATAATCATGCAAGGAGCAAGGCTGCTAAATGCTTCTCTGTTGCATATGCACAGATTGCCCTTTGGCTCTCAAGGACAACAGACCACAAGAATGAAGAATAGCATTGATCACAAAAGTTCATGTATTCTTTGTGTACCCAGGTAAACTCAGTAGTCTGTATGCATCCAGATTTGAATTCCATGTCCTAGAAACATCCCACAGATACAAAAATATCAGATACCTGCATTGCCTAACACTGCACTGTCATGAAGTAGACTGAAGATGCATATGTAAGCTAATTTTGGGAACAGTAAGTAGTCAAACTTATAACAAAATATTTATTTTGTAAATTAAATACAGAGTACGCAGAAAACAAGGAGGATTCCACCATAAGAGTGGAAAACAAGTGGTTTGCAGAACAGCAGCTTGATCCATTTGCCATAACCAAACAGAGCTAGCCTATGTTACCAGAAAATTTTAAACAGTGATATTAAAACATTAAACCAGATGTGAAATAAAGCTTCTAATACCAATAATTAGCCAGGCAACAGCAATACAAAAGGTTCAGAGTACGTTTGCCTTTCCTTCAGTTTTTAATTTTGTTTGATAATTTCTCTTTTCCTGTTGTTTTGTATGAGGCCACCTCAGACTTCCAGCTTGAGAGAGGAAAGGAATGTCTAGATTACAGAAGCATATTGTTATGACTGCCCACTTATTCCTACTCATTTGTTTGCTGTTTCACCCAAACCATTCCCTTACTCCCCATTTGTGCATGCTTTCTAGCCTTTCACACAGACTAAATTACACAGATTCCCTCAGCACACAGTCCCTTTATTACCACTGTGCCTAGGAAGAGATTGCTTCCTGTCTCCAACCATTCCAGTTGCTCCAAAAATCTTTAAAGTCTCTTGTGCATTTCCTTTAAGACTACATTATTATTAGCAAAAGGAAAAATCTTAGAACAGTTCAGAAGCATCCATAACATTTAATATATTTTTCATCTATGTCCCTTTTTGCCACTCACTTAACTCAGGCTGAACAAGCAGCTAATCAAGAACATCAGTGTCACTTAAGCATGTGCACGTTTTTTCAGTACAGTAAGGCTCAGGTACAGAGCATTTAAATTCATTTCAGAATGTCCATCTCCTTTTCAAATGCTTCCTTACAAGGCAAGGCAATATTCAAATCTCAGTTTTCACACCAAGTAAGAATGACCAAATAAGTAGGGTATACAGTTCAAAGTATTACTGTTATGCATCAGCGCAGAGTATCCCATCACCCCCTCCTTCCAAAGGACCAAGTCTAGAGCTTCAATGAGACTATTAATACTTCTTTTTTAAACAAGTCAGTAAAGTTGTCCTGAATTATGAACATAATAATTTCTGGTTCCCATTCACATTGCTTTGAATTTCATTGATTACTAAGTAGCAGACATCTTTGTCAACAAAATTATTTCTCCTTTCATTTGTAAATTTTCTTAGTATCTTATATTCATTACATTATTTTCTTTTTCAGTTAAATATTTCTTTTCCTTTCAATTAACAGCTAAGGTAGCACTAAGCCTGGGAGTGCTAAAGTAGTAGTATACAACTGTTGAAACACAAGAGAAGTCCAATAGAGGAGTATAAATGAAATGTAAACATAAGTCCACTCCACACAATAACCTCACATCATCAGTAAAATTGCACTTCTCTATTAAATTTGTTTTTAATGGAAAAATGCCATAGTAAATATGCTAACACACACTAATTGGAACAAAATCAGATGTATAATTATTTGCATTAGGAGGGAGTCCAAAAGCTACAGAGAACTGGAGATTGAGAAGTTTCTGTCCAGAGACAGGAAGAGACTGCAGAGTTGGAGGTAGGAACAGCAGACTTTTATACTTGTAAGGGCTGAAATTCAGTTTACCACATGGTTATTGGGGAACAAAAAAGTTTAAACCTAGAAGACTTTGTCTGATGTAAAAAAAAGAGAAAACCACAGTAGGGATATGTATTTCCTCCTTTAAGATAATGACCTCAACAGATACTTATTGTGCTGTTCAAATGAGAGGAACAGTCTGTTCTTCTGGTTTCAAAGATGGTTACTTACCAATCTGTAGTTTGCAGTAAAGGACATCTAGCATAGATACAAGACAAAAAAACTTAATGGTAAATGTTAATACTTAGTCTAGCAAGCAAATTTGTGAACTCATTTCTCACTTGAAGTGAGGGAAGCAGAAGTTTACCAAACCCCAAATATATATCCTTTGATGTCTAAAGGTAGGATTTAGAGAACCGTAACATTATCAGTCTGGAAAGGTATTAAGAGACACTCAAGCTTTATTACTTTTATTAATAGACTGGGCCACTGACACGTAGAGAAAGGTTTCAACATGTAAATTATGCTCCAGTTCCAGCACAACCTAAAGGTTTAGACTGATCTGAAAACAGTTACCCCTGACTCTTCTTCTGTACATAGTTTCTAGTGATCTGTAAGTAGCCTACTGTCAAAAATAAATTAATTTGACACTGCTGAAGCAGCTAGCATTCCTGTGACCACACTGGAACAGTCACTGCTGTTAAGTCAGACAAATGAGCCATCAGTATATTATATTCATACTTCTAGTGAAGAAAATATTCTAAGGGTTTCTTGACTGGAATTATTTAGTGGAATGTGTAAGTCTAAAAAGAACAAAGTTATCCATTTGATATCAAAATTCATAGCTCAACTCTTTCACTGAAATCCTGTTGGTCAGGTGTCCAATTAAATGGATTCCACATAAATAAAGAAAACAATTAGAAAAACATTAAAACAAGCAGCACTAACATTTGCTGAGAATGTCGTGCGTTCTTATAAGACTCAGTTTCATTATTTCAATTTGATTAGCTGTGCAGTAAATTTAATACTTAGGTTAGTGTATTATTAGCAAAGGGTGCCAAATGGACAAACTTACAGATAGCAAGATGCAGCAACAGACAGACAAATGTACTGGCCAGCATGAGCTGCTAAGCTTTTGTTGACGTCCTCCTCCATCATTCTGGAACAGCCATTTCTTGCAATACTAATGAGTGCAACCATACTCAGAACCCCATAACTGAAAGACCTTTGCATCTGCAACATTACTCTAAACACACTTAGACAATACTGGGAGAATATATTATACTAATGATAATTTTTAAACAAAATTTTCCAATGATCACTCATTCACAAGTTTTTAAATAAAAGTTTATTACAGAAATTATTTTGAACAAAAAAGGCAACAGTATCTGTTGTAATTTAAAAAAAAAAAAAAAAAGTAACATTGTAGTCATGCCCTGTAAGGTGAACTGAAGAAATGCTACAGGTATGTCTTCCACTGTTGTTCTGTGACGCTTTCTAGTATGGATCAAGTCACATCTGCATCACAAGAATTAAGTATGAACGCAGTCCCTTTCCATGCTTCTCGCCAGAAAGTGCTGCATATTAACAGAAAATATTGCAGACAAACCACAGTTCTATTCATTCTGCAGTATTGGAACCAGTGTCTAGGAAAGAAAAAAGAAAGTGTGAGTAATATGTACTCCCACTACAGTTGAGAATAATTAAAGAGAACCAATACCATTCTCTAATACCTTCCCCAAGCTCAAAAGCATTCCCCCCAAGCATTTTAGAACATGTTCTGTACCTGCCCAATTCCCTCCACTGCTATCAATGTGATGCATGAACTGCTTGTGCTGCTTCACTTCAGTCAGCAACGTTGAAAAGAGCCAGCACAAAACTTCAAGGTTGTGCACATACATCATTTGCTATTAAGGCATTAAAAATACAAGAAGCTTTGCTCCAACTTGTAGTGATACACACACACTTTATTACAGTCAGCCACAAGCACATCTGGCTAAATCACATGATCTACTAAAGAGAAAGGGTTTTGCACATCTTGTAGCATAAGCTCCTATGGAGCATGGACTATAGTTTATTACGCATTTTGAAACAGATGCAAGAATGAGCATGATCTTCATAAAACAACTGAGAGCAATTCTCTGTTCTGAATTTTGTCAGAAGCACCAATTAACACCAGTGCAATTTCTAGTATTACTACCATTACTGCTTTCTTGTTCTTAGAGCTATGGAAAAAATACCTAACTTGGATATAGAGAAAGGCAAGTCTGTGTTTACTACATTCCTTTAGCAAGTCAATTGCTTGTGGGGGGAAAAAGGCTGTAATGTTAATAGCAACTTTAAGTCACCCAGTTCTTTAAATCTTATCTGCATACTTTATCAAGAGTGAAAACGATTAATACTTGGAAAGTAAGGTTTCCTCTACTAGCTATAATAAGCACACAAAAAATAAACAGAGTAAGACTATATGCTTGGCTAATACCAGAAGTTGAGAAAACAATAAATTCTGTCAACTCTAGAACTATGACTTCAAGTGACCACTGTAATCATGCCAGGATCAGGAAGCCATGAAGAACCTGCTTCAGAGGTCTAGAGTATATTTAAATAAAGCCTTTTCCATTCTCAGTTCTTCCTTTTAGCGTCACTCCCCAGGGATGAAACAAGTGGCACCATTTCACACATCTTTAGTGATATTCTGCCACATTGATAGTTTTAGAAGTTATAAACCAGCTTGCCACAAAGTCACTAAATGACTTTTCCAGTAAAGAATTTCAAGGAACATTGACAAAAGTAATCCAGTCAAGCAGATATGGAACATAAACTCCCATAAGCAGTGCATGCACAATGGCCCTGTTGAGCAGTACATAAATCTTGTAATATGATTTGCAAATGCTAGCATAAGCTGTTCATGTGCTTGGGTTCCCTACTATCAAATCCAGCAAACAATTGCTTACACAGTTTTCTCAATTGCCTGCTCAGACTGATGAAGCACTCCTTGAATTCAGTAAAACATGGTGCTGCTCTAACAAATAGGTTCATACTAGAAAAATCACCACACTGAAATTCAATTAAGATTACTTCTGACTTTCTAATCGCTCTAGTAGCATGTCCTTCCCAAGAACAGGTGTACAGCAGTCTCTAACACATTCCTATTTCAGTACTTATGAGTTAGGGAACCATTTAGCTTGCTTTTGTTTCATTTCTCGTCATATGTAAAAGGGAGCGCAGAGCCCTACTTTTGTCCGAATAATACAATCTAGCTTTAATCAGACATTTGGTCAAAGCTTTCTATAAATCATTGAGTCTTGTGTCTGAGCTTATTTATATCATATTCCATACTTACTTTTTCCATCACATGCTACAATTTTCACTTTATCCACTTTCACAAGTTCAGTGACCTCCCTAAATTCAACATCATTCAGTACAAATGTCCATACGTTGTCACAGAACCTGTATGTATTCAGAGACCCCTTTAAAAAGACAAGAGACATTTTCTATAGGATGCATCCCAAAAAGAACAGAAAATATGATGTTTACTAGCTACTGCTAGAACTAGGTTTGCCATAAAGCCAACTGTGAACCTGAATGCATGCAAACTTGGCAAGCAAGCAATTCTGAGGAAAACTGTAGTTTAAATGCCCTCCAGTGGCTGAAATTTTCAAGACCATGTAGTTACAGTCTATCCAAGGGGAAGCTTCACAGGTATGCTAAGAAGTTTTATAACTTTTCTAATGTGTATAAAGGATCAGTATCAGAAAAGATTTTTTAAAACATGGGCCATAAGGAAAATCAGTTACAGCAGTGATCATAACAAGATGTGAAGTCTGCAATTGTTTAAATAAAGCAATAGTTTAAATTAAAAAATCACAACAAAACTGACCTATGTGACTTAAAGGGGCATCCTTCATGTTTGATATATTACTGAGGATGTTGATAGGTAAACCTTTTGGCCTTCATCTTCACATATTTTAAACTGATACTCTTGAACTTAAGCTCCAAGTAACATTTTTTTTTAATTTATCCACTAAACAGTCCGAATAGTTTTCTATACCATGTTACATACACAAAGCAAGTTAAGTGTGTTAGAGAAAAGAGGTTACGTTCTTTTTAACATATCTATATGGTTTAAAAATCTAAAATCTTAAGAGCTCACTTCATTAACGCATTCTGCATAAGACTGTAGAGGAAGTATTAGGACATAAGTTAACAGGACAACTGTTTTGTGGGATTTTTTTTCTCAAAATTGCAATCAAGTTGACATTTAACAAATTTGCTGGCTATCTGACATTAATTAGGGTGGCTGGCTGGGAAAAAATCCCAAACTTATTTTTCTATGATACCTACAAAATGATCCAGTGACTTACATAAGGGTAGATCTACCACTCTCTAGTCTCTCTTCACGTTATAGTTGTGGCTGAAAATGTGGCCTCATCTCACTTCTGCTAGGTACAACAGAGAGAAGCAAAAGTCTCCCTCCCCATCTGCAAGACACTGAAGATGGCAATGCTACCCATCAAAGCATTTCCCTCTTCCCCTTCCCCTGTTTTCATCCGCCCACCAAATCTGTTTCCGATTTTTGCATTCTTTCAAAAGATCCCTGGCAGAACAAGAAGATAAGAAGCCTTACAATTGCATACAAAATATACCTGTACACAGTCATTATTTCAGAGTCAAAATGGACCTTCGTTTTTGCTTAGAGCACACAGCTTTTAACGACATTCTGCATCAATGCTTAGTTACTATACCTCATGAAGAACTTTTATGTATTGTTATCTTACCCTGAAATTGACTCTGTTCCTGACTCGTTGTGCCAGTGCTGAATTTATAGCTTTATCAAACTGAAGTAGCACCTGAAGGGCCAGCTGAGGTGTGATTTGCTGTGACTAAAGCAGTTTTGGAAAAAAAAAAAAAAAGATTTTTTTAGTTCTTTTAAAGTAAACTCAAAAAAGCAGTAAAAGTTAAGAACATCAAATCAAAGTTCACATGAAGCAGATCTCTAGAAGAACAATTTACAGAAGTATTACATTAGTGTGCTTACTTCCTTTTTCCTATTTTAACTCTGAGAGAAGAAACGATGTGCTAACATGGTTTTTTGTGCTACACAAAGGTTTCTTCCGATAAATATCCATTGGAGACAACCAGAAGAGCAGGGAATCGATTACAGTGTTCCAGATTAATCTGGCTGTTCATTTACTGGGCCACGCAACAGGGGATTATGCCACTTACATAAAACATTGTCCTTCGCCTAGAATGTTAAGGAAAGGACTTCCCACATGAATGGAGTACCAATAGCTTTTGATTTCAATAAGTTTTCTAAACGTTGGCCATAAGCACCCTGATACAGCAACCACAAAGCCGTTTTAATAGCTAACCTCTAATTAAGCAAATTGCCCAGACCCTAAACCCGACACGTACCTGTATGAGCTCATCCAGACTTTCCTGAAGACTGTTCCCCAGCGTGGTGTTTCTATACAGCTGATACGCCATGTTTTACCGAGAGGGGCTGGACACCTCCCTGATCATCCACGCCTCTGGACGCCTGTTATGTCCTCGCTCTCATTCAAAAAAAAAAAAAAAATTAGGAAAAAAAAAATCTAAAAAACACAACAGAGCCCTTAATGTACAACGCACAGGAGGAGCAAACAGGGTTTAAAAAATCATTCCGCAGGCACTGACCGACAATTACGAGCGCTCAAGACCACAGGGCATTAAGGACCGGCAGGAAAGCCGGGCCGCCGGGGCAGGCAGC